AAGATGCTCTTGTGCTCCACACAATTTCCCATGGACAGAGGGAAAAGACAAAACACAGCTATGCATAGTAACTATGTAGCTCTCAAACACCTAATCCACCCTTAGTAACCTGTAGAGTAAAAACAGATTAAAATCTAACTAGTTTTTCAAGGTGCTAACATCTACAGGCATTGTGACTCAGAATGAAGTTTACCTTGTAGTCTTCTGCCTTTAAACAAGGTCCTGGAGGCAAACAACGAATCCTGAGAATCTGTGGGAGTGCAATGTAACAAGTAGTACTCCAGATGGCGCCAAAGAATAAACAGGCAGGTCTCTATGATAACTACAGAGAGCTCAGGTTAAAGGAAAACAAACTCATCACACCATTTTACAAACCAGCTTCTGAGCAGGGGGAGAAAGACAGTGCACCATTCAGTCATCTACACACAGCTTCAGTCTAACAGGCTAGGCGTAAGGAGCCACTGAAGGTGTCTCCCCAGAAAGCAGCATGATGTGCTGGGAGGAAGCAAAGCCAGCAAAGCCCTCAGTGTCCTCGTCTCCTGTCCTGGCAGAAGCTGTCTGTGTATATTATGGGGATTACTAGTTACTCTCAAAGGTAAGAAAAAAATTTTCAATTTAAAAATATATCAGGCATTTACTGGAATAAAATGAACAGTAATTATGTCCCTTTCCATACAGTTTTGATACCCAAATAATGTGACAATAAGGAAACAGTTCCCACATTTGAAGACTCTCTTATAGGTCACCCTTCAGGCCCCACTGTGGTTCCATTAAGGATACAAGAACAAAGGGAAAGCAATTTAGCTCGATTGTTGATCAACTTCACCAAACGCCGTCTTGCTAGAACATATTTCTGGGCAGTGGAGATTTTATCAACACCAGCAGGCATCACAGACTGACACAACTAAGAAAAAGAAACAAACAACAGTACTAAGAATGACATATATGGTAACAAAAATTTAATGAAAATCTACTATCAGTGGTCACTTGTGATAAGTACTGTGAAAAACATTCAAATAAATTTAAACATCCTTGCAGACAAGAATTTATTACCTAGTTAGGAAGCTAGTAATTTTAAAAAACAAGAGCCAAAGAAGCAGTTGAATTCATAAATGAATGTTCATCTGCTGCTCTTTGAAAAAGCCCAGTTCCTTGAAACAGGCACTTCCAATCTGCTGATGGACCCACCAACCCTTAACTTCCTGTCAAAGTAAAACAAAGCAAAACAGTGGGATTTTCAAGCAGTAAGGGTCACAGTGCCATGGAGGATTTCTGCAACAGCTGTCAGATCTCTTATGAAGAAAAGGCAAATCAGACTTCTGGAGTGTAACAAATAAATGATCATCAACCAGATCATCCCCTGACCACTTCTCCATCTGGCACACCTGCAAGCACAACGGTTCGATTTAACATGCAGACACGGACGGGGGGCAGAAGGTGTACTGAAGTGGGGCTGATGGGGTCCACATGCTTCATTGTGATACTGCAGTTCCTCTTGTGAGTACTACCATCACCCATAAGCTGTACACAAAGGGGAAGAACTTCCAGGTGTAAACCACATAATTTCAGGAGTTACTTGAACCCAGTCAGTAATGCCTGCCTCAACCTGTGCTTGCCAGCTGTGTGGCTTTGGGTAAGTTATTCAATCTTTCAGTGCCTCAGTTTCCTCATCTGAGAAATGGGAGAAGCAATAATATAAGCCTCATGTATTTAGGTAAAACATGTAGCTTAGGGCTTGGCACATCATAAAGTCTTAATAAATATTCCCTAGAACTATCAGGAGAATGGTGAGAGGGAGTAGGCTGTGACTATTCTTAAGAGTGACACGGTGTTTTTCAGAAAACCTGGTGTGAACCAGGAATGGCAAAATGGCTCAACAGCCAGGTCGCCACATGGGACACCGAGAATCTTCAGCACTGGCCAAGGGATGACTAAGAGTTCATCTGTGCCAAATGGAAAAGAAGGCAGGCTGCTTAGGGAGCAAGCCTAGGAACTTAGCATCTGTAGCTACAATCGATGCCAAGGGATGATTCTAGGTCATTAAGAGAAGGCAGTCAAGTCTGATACACCATCCCGTTTGTCTGAAAAATTCACCTACAGATGCTGAAGATGCTTAAGACACAGAGACATCTTACCTAAGGAATCACTTCTAACTGAAAAAGTATCTTCAACAGAAACCTAAGTTTCTCAGCACCAATTTTTAGCATATAAATTAGCAAAACTCTTTATTGAAAGGCCAGCAGCCTTTCTACTGAATGGCAGGAGGTTTTCTTGAGCAGGTGCAACTTCACTGTCATTCCGTCGACTTTCTGTGTTTACGAAGTGTGAGGGCCTCTTCTTCAAGCTACGCGGCGGAATCGCCTTAATTCCTTTTGTCTCACTGTACATATCATCTTTACTTGCAAGTCTGACACAAGTCCCCTGGTCCTTATTAGTGAAAGCAATGGCTTCTCAAAAGTCTCCACAGCTCATTATAAGGTTCATACCTCTTTTATTTCATCTGGGGGAAGTTGCTCCACGTTCTGTAGCTTGTTGACACTCCTTCGATGACTGTCATAATAGCTGAAGAAATCGTTAGCACTCTGTTTCAGCAGGTAGACAATAATGCCCAAACCAGGCAGGCGCCAGTATGGAACCACTGGGGCTTGGGTATCTAGTAGAGTTAATGATTAAAAAAAAAAAATTCTACTTACAACCATTTTATATGAATTTCAAATGACCTGGTTTTTAAAAACTAAAGCTCAAGAATTTAAGAGCATATAAACCAAGCCAAGAAGAGACAGTTCAAAGAAGTGGTTAAGAATTACTGTAATGAGGCAGGTACATAAGGCTGGAGCCTCAAGAAAATAAGGAAATCTGGCTGATGGACACCAATAATGCTTACCTTTTACTGGGTGAAGACCTCTTTGAGAGCTCTACGGAAGTTACAGACCTTTACACCCATCTCTCCAACCCCCTGCTCTCCACCCCATGCACACAAATGCACAGTTTGTAGTTTCCTGACCCCAGGTGAGTAACTCCTGCCTCACCCTATGGCTCTAGTCATATGGATTCATTTCTAGTCTGCATCTTTCTTGTTGCTGAATTCCCAGCTCAAATCACTCTTCCAAAGAGACAAGAACACTAACAAATATTCAAAAAACGTAATTAAATTTACAACTTAATAAGTCTTTTACCACAACAACTCCATCAGGATAGCAAAACAAAATGTTCTGCCTTTTACTTGACTACTTTCTGATGAAGGTGTAAAGGAACAGAGCAATGCTGGAAAAGCTGTCTGCTGAGGGAAGAACTAGAGAGCGATAATGCTAGAAACGGTTTGTGTGGGGCAAACAGAGCAATCTCCCCTGGTGACAGAGGGATTTCTTGAGAAATACCTTAGTAATTTCAAGTTTAATTTGGAGATAATCTTTGTTTAATGGCCCCAACTGCCATGAATACTGAAAGAGAGATCTGTGTCTGCTTCCTTCCAGGTGGTAATCTCCCTTAAATTCACTCCAAAGTCAAATCTCATAAATCCTCATGAGGAGAGGAAGAGTCCCTTGTCAGTGGATGTGGCCACCAAAAAAACCATCCTAGACTCATCTGACTTGCCAGGTTTCCTTTACCAGTCTTCAGTGAAGATCTGACAGTTATGATACAGGTCATTATAGACACCCTTCTCCTAGTGAAATTAGGTGCCCTGGTCCCCAGATAACATTACATGCAAGTAACCCAAATGTCTATCAACTACTGTATAAATGGTGGTATATTTTTAATATGGAATACTAGTCAGAAATAAAAGGAACAAAATAGTAATACACTCACAGATGGATTTCTAAAACATTGAGTTAAATGAAGAAAGTCAAAAACACAGAAAAGACTACATAACTGTATGATTCTTTCTATATGAAACACAAAGGGGCAAGAAGAAACTTTCAAGGAGGAGGGAATTATTTTGTATTTTGGTTGTGGTAGTGGTTACAATGGTTATAATGACCAAAATTACTCAAACTGTATACCTAAAATGGGAGAATTGTGTTGTATGCAAATAAAATCTCAATAAAAATTTTTCTTAATCCCACCAGCTGGGACATTTTATAATGAAGTTAGACAAACAGGAGTTCTTAGCATAACTTACATAAATTAGAAGTTATATGTTGTTAAACTAATACAGCTTTCATAATGTCATTCTGTTAAATACATATTTTATCAGATTAAGCAATTTGCAAGGAAAATAAGATCTTGAACAGGATGAAAACGTGACAAAATGATTCTCAGAAACCGCAAACAGAAGATTTACTGAAATCACCACCAGTTCATTACAACCAGCAAGATCCAAATGGGCTTTTGGCTTTTGAGTGTCCCATGGGAGAACAGCTTAAACCAATGCAAAATCCTGCCTCATGTTCTAAATCTTCCCTACTGGGTCATTAGGAAATAATAGGCAACATCAGTTTACTAATTATCTAAATTTTACTTTGCTATGTGACAGAAATTTGGAGCTATGATACAAAAACCCAACTAAGGCACTAAATTCAGCTTAACATGATTTAACATACAAACCACTTATTATATATTCATACTTTTTACCCAGCTTGTTTACTCTCCAATTCTAGATTCTTTCTTTGGGGTTCAAGTACTATATAAAACTATATTCTCCCCACATGGCTCTTCCAGATTCAGCCTCAGAAAATCCTGAATGTCTCTATTCTCTCAAGCTCTCCAGCTACATCCACAGGTCTGACAATAGTACCTCCTCATCACACCTTCTTACAGAAGTCATTTAAAAAAATTTCCCATCAATTACTGGAAAAGAAAAAATTACATCTTACTGGAGCCAACTAGACCTTGTCATAATCCCAGCAACTTCACTCCTCAAATACAGGAAGAGAGAACTAGCTCACCTTGCCGGGGCCCCTCTCTGTTAATGGTTTCCGACAGGCTGGGGGTGAAGAGACACACGGCACTCTGTACAGGGGAACTCTGTAGCATGAGGGACTGGCAATACTCCATGACATTGGCACAGATCTGCAAAGGAAGGACAACAGGAACAAACATATTAGCTCCCTAAATACCCTAATATCATGGAAATTCAGATTTGAAGGAGAACAAAGTTATAGATCAGTTTGTAAAATTACCCACATCTATTATTTTTCTCAAGTAGTTCCAAAAACATAAAAATCTTAAAGAATAGTTACACAATTCTCATTCTTCTTACCTGCTGCATAGCCAGTTCGATCTCATCTTTCTTGCTCACTCTATCCCCCTCCACGTTACCATCTTGAAATTTAAACTGACGCAGTCTGTCAGAGCCACCAAAGCGACTTAGTAGTCCTAAGCATTGGCGCTAAGGAAGAAAAAGATACTTTGTTCATATCTAGTTGGATATGTTTAAAGTTAGTGACCTCTCTTTCTCAAGGGATATAAAAAGAAAAATTCAGCAGGCAGTAGAAATCACTATTTACAGCATGATTTCTTACTTCCAACTGAGTCAGCTAAACTTAGCACTACTAAAATCCACCTTTCTGCAAATGTATTTGTTTGGCAGTCAACTCATTAAAAATCAACATTTTTTAGCAGTTAATCCCCATTATAACCTATGTGCTTGCCAAAAGATTTCCTGTATCACACCAAATAACTTCTTGGTAGATACCCATTACATAAATACTAGTCAATAAACAATGAGAAGCAAAATAAGATGGCAAATAAAAGCACGTCCATGATAATCTTATCTACTCAGGCTCAAATGTAAAGGCTGTTACTCCTGTGGCTGCTTCGGGAGATTTCATAAAGGAGATGGGGGGAAAAAAGGAGATGGGAACACAGAGGTAACCTTGGCAGATAAAACACAAAGGCCATTTGTTTGAAATGTTAGTACTTTTCGCCTGAGAATACAATTGTTCCTGAGGTTTTCAGAGGGAAAGGACAAGCTTTGCAAAATTGGCAGTATGTCCAGTGGTTAGCATATGGGTTTGGAATCAGAGATGTGGGTTCCAGCTATAGGTACATGACTTTTTACTATGTGTCCGAAAGCCTCTAAATTCATATTTCTACAGTGGTAATACCAACTTCTACCTTGTAAGATTGTTGTTAGGGTTACCCGAGACATTGAATTGTATTTGAAGTGCTTAGTATATAGCGTTCTGCACATAGTAAGTGCACAATAAAAAAATGTATTTTAAAAATTGGTATTATACACACACATACATACCTATACAGATATAATACATATATAATATCTGATTTAAACTGATGTTAGTTTAAATTAAAAGTTTGGATAAAGTAAAATATATTCAGGAGACTATAATTTTAACTTATTTTGCCAAAATAGCTGTTATCTATTTTTAAAACTTGAAACTGATTGTTGGCTTCTCTTACAGATAAATCAGATGCACTAATGCATTTCCAGAGGCCACGTTATGAAAGAGCCATCAAAAATATTTTTTTCTCCCCACCAATGAAAAAAGTTAGAAGACTGAGGAAAAAAAATCAGAGTACTTTGGCTTGGCCGGAGAGAGTGCAAGCCTTTCTGGAGTGCTATTTGACAATGACTCAAAAAGTACTACTTATATACCCTTGAACTCAGTGATAACCCTTACGTTGTTTAATCTATAGTTTAAAAACTGGTACACAAAAATGCTTTTGGCAGTTTTTCTTTTGGAAACTTGAGTAATAGCTCATAAAAAGAGGATTAGTTAAGAAAATTACTGTATCAAAAACAATGGAATATAAATTCTACCTCATACATATAATTCCTCTGCTGTCAAAAAAAGTGAAGATGTTCATATCAAAGCAGGCCAGGAGGCTCCCAGAAAGACTGTGATAAAATACCTAATGTATAAGCTATCTAATATGTTTGAATATACTGGAAGGAGATTATACAACTCGAGGAGAGTTTGGGAGTGAATCAGAAATAAGTATATAAAACCAAGCAAATAAAGAAACAATTTTTTACTCTAGGGAAAACATAAAGTTGCACAGGGAAGTAACATATGGTCCATGGTTTATTCATAAATTACATAGCAGGAATAATGTGACACTAAATATTAATCTAATCAAATCATGATATGATTAGGTTGAGTCAGGGAGGGTGTGTTATGAAAAATGTACATATCGTGTGGGGGAAAGAACAGGAGTAAAGAGATCTAATTCTCATCCTCCTTGATGGAAGGTCAATAGATGATTACTAAAACTGGAAAATCAAGTAGTAGCAACACAAGCATGTTATTCAGAGATACCAAAGAAGCAATTAAAACCACTGAAAGGGTTTACCCAGGTCCGGGGGCAGCAAGGGGAGGATGGGTGAGAGGACAGCTGTATTTTGTTACAAGTCTTATAGCTGCTCTTTAAAGAAGAAAGAATCAGTTACCTGGAATCTTCCAATATGCCCCTGTAACTCCATTAGAGAGCCTTCATTTACATCAACATCAAGTTCACTTAATATACCTATAAAATTTAGAATGCTTTAAAATGTTGTATTATAATAGACAAAATAAAAACATTTTAAAAAACTACGAAAACCAGTTTTAATATTTTAAATATTCTTTAATGCATGAACAGACAGACTCTGCCATGAAGGAGTTTTGAGACATACAACTTTACAAAGATTGTAAGTGTACCATCACACATTCATTGCTATGAAATCTAAATCTAGTGATATTTAAAAGGCACTTTTAAAAGTTTTTGAGAAAAATCTTTTTATTTATAACCATAAAAGTTAAAAGTTTTCTAAACTCAGCAATAAATTACTTTCTCATGAAACAGTTTAGAATATAAAACAGTAAGACTGAAATACATTCTTTTTTTTTTAACTCTTATAGGTATTGTATTATTTGATTTTTTTCCCTTTTCCATTAGGCAAAGTATAGCTTGCACAGACACAGAAGTTTCCATTCAATTTCTCAGCTTGGACTCATTACAAAATTCCTAAATCAAGCTGATCAAGCTTTTACAGTACCATGGGCTCTCTTCATTTCTACTGAGCCCTCCAAACAAACCCACAGGTCATTCTCCCCACTGGTTTATTTCTTTGTTCCCTGTCTGCCGTCATGCTGAGAAGACCCCACCTGAATCTATCCTAGCCTCCCTAACTTTCCATGTGTTTTCACAGGTCCTTTAAACCATTTCTTACTTCCAGTTATATACTTCATAGCCCATAACCCAGAACCTTATCCTTTGCTCCTTATAATGACAAGCCCTCCTCTTTCTAGATTTCTCAGCCCATCACCTCAACACAAATGGAAAATACTCATATGACCTGGCACATGCCGGCTTGTTACACCTCACCGGCGCCTCACTGTTCCACTCGATACTATCCCTTCCCACCTCCACCTCCTCTGGGAGTCTGCTCCCAGAATCACTTCCTTCAATTACGTTCTAAAATTTACCCTGCCACAGAGGATTTTTCCTCACCATCTGAAAATGTGTTCAGGTCCTCCTTGTACTCCAAAACAAAACAAAAGCAAAAACTTGATTAATATCAAATTCTGGAAATATTTTTTTCCACATTTGCTGTTTGTAATTCTTACACCTTCTTTTTCCTTTTTCCATCTTAACCCCTTGAAAGCTGGAGTTTGCACTTAACACCAACATGGAACTTTGGCTTTTTCCTGTTTGTCCTTAAACCTTCTGATCTCTGCAACCTGTGTTGCTGTTCCCCACTTCTTTCACTCCTCCTGCACAAAACTGATGCCTCTATTTTAAAAGACAACCAATTCTTCTCAGATTCTGTAAGAACTTTCAGTTGAATGCCACCTGAGTGTTGTGTACCATATATATCATCCTCAACTCCAAAACACTGTACAGAATATCTGTAGGTCACAGACAAAAAATTAGCCTGCTGATACATATTTGAGGAGGTACAACATATCCAGTACTGGGCTAATATTTAAGACAAAAATATATTGTGAAATTATATGATAATACAAAACCATATGCAATCAAGGGCTGAACTGGGAGAGTAGGGTTGATAGGAGTTTGAATTGTTTTTTAAATTGTTTTTTAAAATTAGGAGGGTATTTGGTATTACCTTAAAATATATATATATATATTTTAAAGTATATATACCTGTGAACAAACACTGCCAGGAATTTATCAAACGCACCAGCTCAAATATACAAAAATGCATACATATACACACAAGTTATTAAAGGCCACACTATTTGAAATTTTTAAAAAGACTGGAAATAGTCAACATGTCATAGGGGTCTGGTTAACTACATCACAACTGGGAAACTATTCAGCCAGTTAAAAAGAATGAAGTATCAACAAGGACCTATTGCATAGCACAGGGAACTATATTCAGTTTCTTATAATGAGCGGTAATGGAAAAGAATCTGAAAATATATATATATGTATGTGTATGTATAACTGAATTGTTTTGCTGTACACATGAAACTAACATTTTATATCAACTACACTTCAATTAAAAAATAATAATTAAAAAAATAAAAACAAAAAATTAGGAACTATAGATGCTGATGAGAAAAGATCTCCAAGACATAATGGGAGAAAAAAATTACAGAGCAGTGTGTATGGTATGATTTCATTTGTATAAGGAGGAAAACAATTTATACACATATACAGAGAAATTGCTAGAAAAATGAAGTATAAATTGATAACTGGTTCCTTTTAGGGAGCAGATATTGCTGGTCAGGGGGCTTTTACTCTTGTTTTATTTTGTTAGAATTTATCATGAGCATATTAAAATAAACTGTGCTTTTCTGAATATAACCTTAATACTGTGACAGGGTCAAATGCTGCAATTAGCAAAATACAGAATGTTCGAGTGTTTACAAAAATTAATGAGAGGAGAATTCATCAATAAAATCACCCTGCCAGAGGATATGATAAAAGGTAAATTCCCTCTATACCTGCTCAGGGCTTCTGGATTAAGATAGCAGAATGGAGTAGTATCATAGAATGTCCCTCCTGTCATCAACCTACAAATAAATGAAATTCACCAAAAAAAGAAAGAAGCCAACTTATGCCATAAATACTAAAGAATGGTGATGGTTAAGAAAAAAAGAGAGACAGAGAAAATTCCAGGGGAGTAAGCAGCATGATTCAACTCATGACGCTCATCCCACCCCTCAGAAGCCGTACAGAGGAAAGAGGGTAAGCCAACAAACTCCAGCAAATTCTCGTGGAGACCCCGCAATTTGCAAAGAGGCATACTGGACTGATTAAGTAAATTAAGTAATTAGCAGAATTAGTAATTATGAGAAATCAAGGTAAAAACCATTAGGAGGAGAACTACTACATAGCACTACGGGATCTTAGCAGAGGCAAGAAGGGTGGCCTGTCTTGGTGTCATCTAAGGACACTGGAATGAATCAGGGAAATGAGCATAATACGCACACAGGACTGAGACACACCAAGGCTGGGTGGAGCTGATGCTGGGATCCCCTCAGAAGGAGCACAGGCTCCAAGTGCCTTAATACACACTGCTCTCTGCCCTGCCAAACTCTCTCCTCTTCCCAGCATGAAGGGCTCAGGCACGGAGGTATGCCCAGAGAGGAAAAAATCCTGGGGGTGGTGGAGCAGAACCAGGGGTTGGTCTCAGACTTCTTCAAAGCAGCATAAAAACGGGGGCAATATGGCCTCGCAGTTAAGTGCACAGGCTGAGGCCACACTGCCTGGAAAACCCTACAGTATTATCTGTGTGACTCTGAAATAGTTAACCTCTCTGTGCCTCAGTTTCCTCATCTGTGAAATGCGGACAATAACGGTTCTACCTCATAAGACTGTTGTGAGGATTAAGTCAATTAACATGATGTGTTTAAAACAGTACCTGGCATGTAAATGCTTAATAAATATGAGTTACCATTAATATTACCAGTTCTGAGAAAAGAAAATCATACTTGGCCATACTGTCACTCAAGAACAAAGGCAAACTTAAGACATTCATAAACATTAGAGAATTCAAGGAATATTATTTACTTTTGCTTGGGGAAAGGGTACTCAATACAAATTAAAAATACCAAGCGATAAATCAAAAGAACAAACTCAGGAATGGTGAAGTTATGGGAGGAAAAAAAGAATTGGTGTTTTTCTGTGAATCCATGTAAATAAACAAACAAAACTAAATAGCTGAAGGTATTATGTTGCAGGACTGAATGTAAATGGTATTTACTTGAAAAAGTAAAGACAATATATAATATCTGTAGGTAGAAAAAAAACTGTAAAATAAGTCATTACTTCATCTTTCGTATTAGGAGCTAGTTAATTCTGTCTAAAATCTACATGTAGTAAAAAAAATTGTTTTAATGACCAAAATATTTATTTTTCATAATCTTTTCTTCTTCTTAATCATAGAGATCTTTAAGAACTAATATCTCTTGTACACTTGTAGTTAAGAAACATTTCTCTGGAATTCATCGGTGTCTTCAGTCTCTTCAATTAGTTTACCTGTTAAGTTCATGTAAAATTAAATAGCAGTTTTCGAAAACTGCATGTAAAAAGTATCCCATTCTCATAAGTTATCTCTGTATGTCCCTGTTTCTCTCCATCACACCATCTCCTCCACATGAACATACAAATAGAACAATGTTTCAAAAGCTACTTACCAAATGTTAACGTTTGGTAATTTCTACATAGTGGGATTTTGAGTGTTAGTTATTTTTTGAACTTTTGGAGTTTTTTATACTGACCCTATATCATTTTTATAAATGTATTACTTTTTAAAAGGCAATTAACTCTTAATTTCAATTTCCAGTTAAGTCATACACAACTGCAAAGTAATAATAACCTCCTCCTAGCAAGTGTAGGTCAGTCTGTAAAGCACTGATAAAAATCCATTCAACATAATCAACTCACCAGGAAGTGCTGCTTTACTTATAATTCCTGTCAGCAGAGCCAGTTCCTGCAAAGACCCAGCACTAACATCCTGACAGCGCAGGATTGCTTGTATGGTGTCGGAATGTGAAATGAGAAACTGTAACACCTAAGGGGAGGAGAAGGAGGAGAAATGGATATATGTTATATTCATCTGTTTAATAACATGGAGACAAGCAATTTAATGTAATGAAGATTAGACATGCAGTTGTCTTTTGCACTTGCATAGTTTATTTCTTCAAGAAGCAAACATTTAACTAAATTTCACAAGAAAGCTAAGAAATTAATATATTTAGAAGCTACTGTAGAAGAGTATAACTTGGAACTATTGTATGAAAGCTATTATTTGACCCCTATTTTATTTTTGACTTTTTTGAAACTAGAAGATGAATTTAAAATGAGTGCATACAAAAATGACTTACTGAATTCAAGTTGGCTCTATGGAAGTCTGGCTAGTGTGATATGGGGATAATCACATAAAAGCTTTCGTCTAATTCTCCTTTTGATATGGTGAAAATAAAGAAGATATAAACCTTGACCTCCAAACTCTTGCCCTTCCAGCTTAGCACTTTATAACGTACCATCATAGAGGACTCATTTTCATATCCAAACATCTTAACTAGATTATAAATGCCTTGAAGGCAGAGACTTTGCCACAACAGTCTGAACATTTGAATCACTCAGAACTGTGCCCTTCTATATATGAATTCAGATTCCTGGCTCAGCCCATCACTGCTAGACATGAAATTCAGTAATCTGTATTTTTTAAAGAAGCTACTAAGATGATTCCACTATGCTCAGGACAAGACTGGTCTTGTATCATAATGTCTCGCTTCTACTAAAAAATCTTAATCTCAATAAAGTAGAAGACAAAGAAAGTCTCCGAGTGTTAAAGAACTGACTCAAAGCCCATGTACAAAGGGAGCAGAATGTCCGCTAGACCAATGCAGTGTAAAATCAGGTGCCACACTACAAACCACAGCAGTCCACCTTAGTGAGGTAAGTCTGAAGATGGATGGTAGGGAAAGCAGATAAAATACCATAAATTATTAGGACACAGGTCCTGGTGGTACCACAGGTCAGAGCAATACAATAAATTACCTGCAGATTCGTAACAACAAGCCCAGTTACCCACTGAGAGGCTAAACTGTATATTGCATTACTAAAGAAAAAATATATTTTTAAAGATTTCACTGAAAATCAATGAAAATAAAACTAACTTCTGGTGGTTAAAGGAAAAACATTTTATTAATTAGACATTCACATTTAAATTACTCATTATTTAAATATCACAACTAAATGTGGTGTTATCATCTATCTTTTGTACTTTCTGCAAGGTCTAATAAAGGGTATGGCTTTCTCTAATAAAAACTAATTAAATTATAATTTAGAAGCCAGTTTATTTCTATCACATAGCCGCTTCCTTTTGTAGAAGAACAAATATATATCGCTTGCTTGCATCTCACTATTCTATTAATTAGCTGTAGTGTTTCATTCAAAAAAGACTATAGAAACAGGCCAATGAAGTTTAGAGCAAAGGTCAAGGGGCTATTTTCAATATCCAGCTCTGCTACAAACAGACTGATTAAGGTAAATTCACTTAAGCATTCTAAGCCTAGGGCTTCAGCATTTGTAAAATAACAATATTTGCACTCTCTAATTTCTACGCTAAGGATTCCTCTTACCTGCCCTGCTGCCTGCAAGTGCTGGGCCATACTAGACGTGAGGATGACCTGGCACAAGCGAAGAGCTGGAAGGAGAATCTGGCGGTACCGGTCCACCGGAGTAGGGATGAACACTGGGGGGTCTCTCATACCAAACATGCTGGATTCATTCCCAATGAACAAGGAGAGAGCAACAGTCCAAGAGTTAAGGTACACGCCAACAGTCCCTGACCATCTCCATGGCAAACAATCACAAGTGGCTGAGTAAGATGTGAAGCTACTAATGAGTACTCTGTATCCTATATGCACAGTTAGTGCAAACAGTTATTTGAACTTTGAAAACTCTTAGTAAAGACTATTTGCATAATTTGAAAAGACAATGCTTAAAATTCCCGAATGCACATATTTATTCTACTCTAAATGTTCCCTTGGGCCACAGAGACTATGAGTGAGAAACAGACAGAAACAAAAATTACTTTCCCCAAATTTCCCTCTCCTATACCCAAAGCCAAAAATGAATCTACATCGTCCACTCTGTGAAATAGAACTAGATTTTAAAAAGTTAAAATGAGGTTGTAAAATTATTTAACATTTAAGATTACACTTCAGAATATTGTATTCATAAACTATTATTTATTGTAACTGTTTACATTTAAATTTTTAGACAAAAAAAAGATTGCCTGTTGAAGAGAAGAGAATGAAAACAGAAAATGGAAATAAAAAGAAATAATAGAAAGGCTTTCCAAAGACAGGTGATAAAAATATGCCATGAACTGAGAAATATAATTAACTCAACCTCTTCAAGTAAGGTGAGAATAATCACTCTCATGTTTAAAACTTTAGGAAGTGATATTTAAAAAAACTTTTTTCTCTAGAAGTAAAACAGTTCTATAGTTAAGCCTGAAAAACTCAAACATTCAATTTGGCAATGGATCTTTCAAAGAAAACTACTAAGACTGACCTAAATGTTGTTTAATGCTAGGAGGGTGTGCTATTGGCCTAACAATACTGCAGCCATGTAGACAAAAAAGAAAAAAAAAATCCATCATCAAACTCAACTGAGAAATCTGCTAAAAAGTTTGAAACTTAAAATAATTTCACTTGAAGCTTTCAAGTTAGCAAGCAGTTGGTAAAATGTTAAAATGAGAAAAATATAAAATACTATTCAAGTCATTAGGAATAGAAAATCCACAACAAATTATAATTTCACAGTACTTTAAAGGCCACTATAACTGAAAACATGTATTTCTACTGAATAGAACAATAAAGTCATGAAGAAAAACAACAACTAACAAAAATGCTCTCCCATTTTCCTCTTATGTTACTGCTCTAAAATGGAAAGCGTTAGGTCCCTATCCACTTTTACCCTCACTAGCAACATCCATTTACTGGTAAAATGGCTGGGGTATATGACCAAAGAAAATCATCAAGATGAAAGAGTACTGCTCAAACACAGTTATAAATGGCAAAATTATGTTTGGAATGTTTTCCTTAATAATCCTTTACTGGGAACTTTTAAAAAAGCCAATCAATATGGCCACTTACCCCTGTGGGTCCATTTCTGGGCGCATGTCATAGACTTGGCACTGTGCCAGCCTCACAATCACCCCAGATCTCAGCAGCTCTAAAGCACCCTGCTGTATCTTAGCCACTCTTGTGAGAAATGCCTAAGAAGTTATAAAACAGAAATCATTAGTACAGAGATCATATGCAAGGATCTCATACAAGAATGAGACTTTCTCATGGCACATTTCTGATCAGTAATCATCGCTAAAGAGAAATTCTGGGCTAGCTATGACGGGGCACCCTATACCACCTTTACCATGGGATTTTTATGAGGAGTAAATGGCACAGCATATCTGAAATGCCACATGTGCCTCGCATGGATTAAGCATTCAACTAAACCGTAGTTTCTGTTATCATCACGTGGGCTTATGGAGGGTAGGAAAGACGGTTTTGCTCACAGTTTTGTCTCTACTGCCTAGTGCCATGCCTGGTATGTAACAGGTATTTAATAAATACTTGCTGAATAAATGAAAGAAGGAGGGGAAAAAGAGGTAAGACTTTATTGCTTCTCTTATTGTGGCACCTGTGGCATTTTTAACCAGGAGGAAACAGAAATAAAAACAGATCTGGAGGAAAGGAAATGATATGCTCTATATACAGTACTGAAAATCCTGTGTTTAAAGTAGAACCAGCACATCTCCATTGGAATTTCAGTAGGCAACTAATGCAGTCTGATTTTTGTCAGGAAGCACATCTTTGCTCACTCTTCTCATAGAGCAGCGAGCATCATCTTGCTTCGCCACCATCAGCAATGTGAGTAAGCAGCTGTCTCAGCATCCAACCAACCCTCTCAGAATCATATCAACCCAATCTGGCATGCTCAGAAGAAACATTTCTAGCACTTGTCCCCAAATTCAAAACTCCTCAGAAATGATTACAGCTTACAAGATAGAAATATTCAAAACATAGGCCATGTTAATTTTCTTTAATACATCTTTAACCCCAAGAGGAAATGACCTGTTGATCTAACTTCAAATGAATATAAAGCCTTACCATTTTGGATTCGTAAGTATAAAGTGCTTTTAAAAGGGGAGGTTGTGGAGAGAGTAAGCTTTGCAAAGTGCGGTCATCTTCTACCAAGCTGTCCACAAGCACCTTCAAATAGCCGCTGTTAGAAAGATACAGAAGCCACTGCTGCTGCTTGTCTACGGAGACAATCCGATCAAGTAGAGCCAGTGCCAGCATCTGCAGGGAAAACAAATCAAAGTCCAAAACATGGAGATGACTACCCGAATCAACAACAGTAACTCCTGGAACTTTTCTTGCAAGGAGAATGGCTGCCGGCAACACAACTTTCTTCCTTTCCTTTCTTAAAAGTTGAAAGCTATATACCCAGAATCTCAATTTATTAATAAAAGGAAAAAGTTCAGGATAGTTATACTTCCGAAACAAAATTCAACACATTAAAGTAATGGCATTAAATATATTTTAGCAGAATCTAAACATTACTTGTTGGAAAAAAGGGGATTTTTAAAAAAAGCTTTTCCCTCCAATGGTGAAGTTTTACATGCTTACTGTAGAAAAAAAGAAAAGTATACAGAAAACATTATCTGATAAACACAGACAATTTTGATCTATAGCCTCCCAGCCTTTTTTCTATGCATAAAAACATTTTTAAAAACATAGTTGAGAGCATACTACAAGACTCAAATGCTACGTAATTTTCTCTCAGCAGGAAATTACCTCCTCACTGCAGTATGACACAATACTTAAAAGATATATAAATACACATACTCCTCCACAAAGCAGATACACTAGTATAAAGGCTACTTATCCAGCATTCTTACTCGGATATTTATCAAGCAGCATCTCTGCTGTTTCTATCAGTGGAAGGAAACAAAATTAGCAAAAAGATTATTCTGAGGGTACATTCTGAACGAATTAAGATTCTGAACAGAATTAAACAAAACATATCAGCAAACAAAATGGAAATCCCAAATTAAAGCAAATAAGCAAATTCACTAAAATACATTACAGAAAATAATTCTCAATATGTAATATACATTTGAAAAGTTGATTCAATTTATACCTTAATAAGTCAAAATATTTATCCAATTACAATACTAAGCAGGAGTTACCGTACCCTTCCAATTTCATGACCATCACAAGCATCTCGACAGACCACTTCCATGAGGGCAGCACCGTAGCTCTCAATGATGGCTATGTTTTCCCGCTGTAATTTACTAAATACATCTTCAGGGGCTGTCAGCCTTTCCCACATCGTTTTCTTGGCTAAAGGGTTATAAAGAAGACATGTAAAACACTTCAACAAAAAGCAGCTTAGTAACTGAGTAATAACACCTTATACACAACAAAAAAATCTTTCCATTACTGTCTGTACACAAAGGTCCATAAACCAATGAGTCTGAGCAGGTAAACTTTAAGAACACAATGCACCATTCCATGAATGTACACTAAGATAACTAAGATGCCACTAAATGGCGTTAGGAAAAGGCTAAACTATTCACGAAATCAAAATGGGGAGAAGGGCAATACAGAGATAGAGGATTAAGAGGTAGAAACTATTATGTGTAAAATAAGCTACAAGGATATATTGTGCAACACAGAGAATACAACCCATATTTTATAATAACTATAAATGGAGTACAACCTTTAAAAATTGTAAATCACTATATTGTACACATATAAATTATATAATATTGTACCTCAACTACACTTCAATAAGAAAAAAAAATCAAAATGAATTATGAGATTCCAAGAGAACCAATTTCTGTATTTATCCTGCTAATCAGTCTATTTTTATCTTTTATTGAGAATTTGTTTTTATCTTTTATGATAATTTGGCTAACAATAGGTAAGCTAAATAAATTATGGTATATCCATAACTGGCAAAATCTACAGAGGTATTAAAAATGTTATATAATGAGAGGGTAAAAGCTGATAAAATACTAAGTAGAAAGAAAAAGGAAGACATACATCAGTAAAAAAGATGGCTGGCTATAAAATAATGTTGTGGTAATTATCTTAGAAGGGTAGAATGTGTGACTTTTCTTTTCCTTTTGTTCATTACTATATTCTAAATTTCCTACAATCAATACTTATTTTGAAATAAAAAATGAAAGCTAAAAGATATTTTTAAAATAACTGAGTATTAATTTTTAGATGTTCTAAGGTTCTAGGACCTGACTCAGGTTGTAAAAAAAATAAAAAGAGTGGTGAGAAATGGACATCTAAATTTACCTCAAGCAAAAGGCCTGCATCTAC